TAGATTGGCGCTTACACATATGTTAGTGTTTGGCCGAGCTTCTCCCCCAAATTGTGGCGTGCGCCTTGAAGTTATCCCACCAAGCGGAGGGACCTACAGTTTTACGCCGACTCCGAAAGCCTATTGTATTTTTATGAGAAGCTGGTTTTCGTTGTTTCGTTTATTTTAAATCTTTTGGCATTAACCTTTTGTTTTAGAATTACGGTTATTTTATTGCTAAATGGGAAGAGAATAAACAATAATCTTCCGATTAAAAAGAATGGCTTAATATGGCACCTAATGGCCGAGGATAGTTGGCAGCCCTGGCTGTTGCTGTCTGCACCATAAACTCCGCCATACGAATTTGTATAATTGATCGCTATTAGCGATTTTAATCGGATCGCGCCACGCGAATCCCCTAGGCCATGAACCTGGACTAAATCAGGGACGGCTGAAAGGTAGTCAGCGGACATAGCTTTTTTAAAATCTCCCTGGAAAACAGATTCAGCTCTCAACTTCCTCTCCTGTTCTCAGAAAATACTATTCAATGAATCGATACTTGCGAGTAATGTACATACATTTAGCGTACTCTCCATTCACGAATTGGTACCACGAGGAATGTAAAAATTTTAAGGTAGGGACAAGCTCCTGAAAGAATGGATACGGTCATAGCAAACCGCGGAGACAGCCAAAACTCCATTCGATAATGATTGAATCGACGTAAACAAGTTTCATAATTTTAATTGCACTTTTATTTAAACACATACCTAAAACAAGAAAATAATTAACAAATACATATGTAAGTACTTATGTAACCTTGTTACAAAGCACCACAAGGCCCACTTTCAATGTCTCGCGCGGAAACGTCTTACATCGAGATTTGCGTTACTCAGTCCTTCACTGCTACCACCATTACGATAATGATAACCGTCATCGCTTAAGATATGTGCTGGCATAGGCTCCGCTGCTGTTTGTACAGTGGGAGAGGCGGCGCTGCTCATCGATTGGAATTGAGCAAAAAACACGGGCGCATCATCGACACTTCCGGGCTGCGTCATCAGCTGATGGTGTCGTAGCACAAATTCGACTGGCGGCATTTGCTCTGGCTGTGGCGTTGGTTGAGATACCTGGTATTGCGGCTGGTAGTTAAGCTGTTGAGCTGCAGGCGACTGTGGTGGTAGATAGTAGCTAGCCGGCTCTTCGGCGAGCGCTGGTGGCGTTGGCTGATGAGCCGATTGCTCTTCAAACATTGCTGTGGCTTCTTTGGCGGATTCTTGTGCGGCTTCTGCTACATTTTCGGCTTCTCCAAATGGACTTAGATATTCGCGTGTCGGTTCCATTTCTGGCACAACTTCCATTAACGGCGAAGACATTTCTAATGTCGGTGGAGACATTTTTGATGTTGGCGGCAAATAACTGGATGCTGGCATTGCCTGAGATCTTTGCTCTGGTTCCATTTTCTGGTGCATTTGCATTTCATGTCTTTGTATTTGAGGAGCCAAGTATTGCCTCGGAGGCATTTCAAGCATTTGCTGCTGTGGTGGCAAGTAATGCACAGCTGGCGCTGATTGTTGCTGCAGTTGTTGCCCACTGCTGGGCATTGTTGGTGGTGGAGCCAAATATTGATTGTTGGGCATGGCCACTGAAGCCTCTCGAGATTCATGTTCTTGAATAGGCATTGACATTGGTGATAAATACTGTCTCGACGGAGCAGAAGATTCCTGGAGCGTCTCCTGTTGGTCATGAGCATTCACATCTGGAGCGAAATGATGATTACTATCGGCAGTTATTGAATTCATTTGTTGAGGTTCATCAGATGAAGTCATCGGTGGCGCCAAGTACTGACGCATTGGCATACTATTTTGTTGCCTTTGATTAGTTGACTCCGTG